TTAAGCCACCGGGTCTGGGACTTGAACCATACATGCTTGGTGTGAGTTTTAAGATACTGGGTCTGGGACTAGAACTGTGGTCAACTACGTGGGAGTCCAGTGACATAACTATTATACCATCTGCTGCTCCCCTATATTTCTTCTCTAAAGCAAAAGCTATTCAGTTATTCAAAAGAAGCTTAAATGTTACCACCTGTTATGGTTTGTCTCCCAATGTTTCATGTTTTAGAATTTGATGTTGGAAGATGGCAAGGCCTAGTGGGTGGTGACTGGATCATGGTGATTGCATCATGAAGATAACACTTTTATGAACAGATTAATGATGCCTTTTGAGACCCAGTGAGTTTTAGCTGTCATGAGAAGGGGTTCATTCTCATGAGAGCTTGTTGCTAATACAAGGGAGAGAGTTGCCCCCAGCTCATTCTATCTCTGTATGCACTTGCCATACTCCATGCTCTGGTCAGCCCTGTTGTAGGTTTGCCTGATGCTACTAGGCCTGTGCCTTTAGAACTTCCAGCTCCCAGTCTCAAGTATTCTGATAGAAATGCAATAATGGACTAAGACACCACCTATATTGTCTTCTCTGGTCATGTGAATGAAAACCTTATCTTTCTCCTCTCTCCAATAGTACTTTGATTATACCACTCATATTCTGCCCAAATACATCATTATCTACAAGCCATCTACTGTAGTAAGCTGGGAGGTTGTCCAAAATGGCATACACATATAGCTGGCAGTTCACCAGAACAATGACATGCAGCTTCTCCAGCACGACAATGAATATAGAGGTAATCGGGTTTTCCACTGAAAGTTCAGGGCTCCAAGTGCAAGCGTTCCAGAAAGCAAGGTAGAAGTTGCATTGTCATTTATGACTCAGCTTTGGAAGCATTCAGCGTCCCTTTTAATATATTCTGGAAATAGTCCTAAGCCCACTCAGATTCCAAGGGAGGGGAACTTGACTCCACTTCTTCATAAGGGATGGCAACCTCACAATATAGAAGGGTAAATGACATGGGAGATACTTTGTGAACATCTTTGGGAATATAACATGCCACATGTACATACAAAACACATGTGAAAACCCTTTGTACCCTAGCGAACTCTGGCCACATTTACTCATATCTTTCCTTGTTTTTTGTCTGGCATCCTATGATGTATGATAAACTTTGACCTATTTACTTCTATGTCAGGCAGGCCGATGAATTCACCTCAGATCTGTAGTATAAAATGCTGATAATGTAGAGATTGGACAATAATCCTCAGGATTGCTTCGAAGTCTGTGTCTTGCTAATTCACTCTCCTTTCTATATATTTTCACTAATCTTACCTGCTTTGCTGGCCTTTCATCATAATGGTTTTATGTGCTATAGATCTCTTCAATAGTGCTCTCTGAGTATCTTCCTCTTTGCTTCACTGCCACTAGAAAGCAACAGAAAAGATTTTAAAAACCTAAAATATCGAAAGTATCACTTTAAGTTTAAGAAATGCCAAATAGCTTTTCACAGTTTTTACTAAGAAATATAAAACAAGAGATTTTTACAATTCTGTCTTCACAGCAGATGGTTAATTTCAATATACTACAACATTCACTAGTCCTTGTAAAAATTTGAAATAATTATTTTAGGGCAAACCCCTATGGGTAAATTTTGTTGTTGTTGATGTCCTTGTTGCTGCTGTTAATGAAGGAGTAAGAATAGGAAGGAGGGCAAAAAGAGACGGAGTGAGAGAATGCCTTTCACTTTTTAGTCAGGATGCAGATGAATCCTGAAGTACCCTGGAGAAAAAAATAAATATTTCCTTAGGGCATACACTTGATACAGTGTAATATTTATTATAAAAAGAGTTGACTACAATCAACATTTACCTAGCACTGATCATCTAACAGTTAGTAGAGTCAAAGAAGTGGGAAGAGTCAACGTTAGATGGGGAAAAAATGTTAGTATTTAATCACAGAAGTAAATGACTAACAAGACAATTCTATTATTTGTAAGTTCCAAAGATATGGGAGAGGTGCATGGGATTAGCACACTCAGGACATATTCTGTGTGTGGTGGTGGACCTTTCTATGCCATTGACTCCCCATAACAGTGCTGCAAGGAGAACAGAGAAGGGAACTGAAAGGTAGAGAAGGGTCAAAAGTCCTCCTGTGCTTTCCCAAGGGGAAGAGCCAGAACAAACTCAGATGACCAACATCAATCTCAATTTCCTTTCCTTGCTGAAACCCACATCCTTGGAACAGTGAGACTTCCTTTCTTCTTTTTTGATATACTTTTCAACTTAATGTTAGATGCTATTACTTTGCTGGTGATAAGAGATAGGTAATTTTCTGAGGCTGATTGTCCTTTTTCTAAGACTGGTGCTCAAATTGACAAGGGTTCAATTTTTTTAATGGCCACTGGAGGGCTCCCCATCGCAAGCTTTATAGACAATCACCAGGTATTAAATACTTTTTTTTTCTTTTTTTCTTTTTCTGGCTTTCTCTGAAGTTTGATTAATTCCAGGCCTTTAAGAGTTTGTGAGTGACTATGTCACTCTTAAAAATGAGGGATGAATAACATTTGGCTGGAACAGATTGAGTCAACTTTGGGCAGAGGTCAAATAAGGCTCTTGCCACACAGTTCTTTATGTACCCCTGAGGCCAGGCCGCCCACACTTCGCTTCTCATGTCCTGGGCCCACACATAATGCAGTCAATCCACCTGAACTTCTGACCTACAGCAGTGCATCTATAATATGCCTCTTCTGCTGACCGCCAGCTTCTCTGTCTTTTACCTTGGGCTCTGCTCTAGAGGCTAAAGACTCACAGCGAAGACCCAATTTGTTCACCATGAGAGCCGTGGAATATTCTTCAAAGTGGGCCTTTCATCTCTTCACTTCTGTGCTGTCTTAAAGTAGCAGGAAGTCCATAAGAGGGACTGAGTAAGTTTCAGTTTACTTTCATTCAGAGTGGATTCTCATTTTATGTGCTGGCTAATAAGTTACTTTGCCTGTTCCATTCATAATACAGAGAAACAAGGAAATGTTGAACAGAGTGGAATACATTTGGAGGAGCAGAATTTCATATCTCAGCAAGATGAGATTTTTGGGCAAAGATGCAGAGCTCTATAAAAAGTACCTAATACACCAACACAATGTGATTTGGACTGGTCATGGAAACTTGAACTTTTCAATAAAGATCTCAGAGGATCTATTTTGCTTGAAAGTTTTTGGAAAGTAAAGTAGAGCAGGGCCTTCTTCTTAATGAAAATCCTGCTAAAGTTTTAATAAGAATGATTTCATTAAAAGAGTAAATTACTCCAACTCTGGAATGATCTTCAATAGGATATTGATCTCCATCACAAGATATCAGGAGAGGGTGATATTCTCCATGACAAAACCAGGTAGACACAAGCATGCTTGTGTTACATGCTTCTCTGTGGGGTCTAGTCAGCAACAACAAACACAACAAACAAACACAAATTGAGAAAGATGGAAGGCTGAATATAAGGTGCAATATGTTTTGAAGACCAGAGTTCCAATGTGAAGATATCTTTAAGTAGATGAGCCAAATGCTAACAGTGTATTTACTTGGAGTTCTTGGTCTACTTAACCACTCAGTATGCCTTTGAGTTGAACTTACCGCTTTCAATGTAGAAATGGAAGGATAGAGCTTATAACAGGCAAATAATTCACTCAGATTTGCCAAGTTAGTGGTAACAGTAATGAAACTAAATCAGTCCACAATTTTTGCTTACATGTACTTGATATGAAGTAGCTAGGTTCCACTGATAATTACTTTTTATCTGCATTCATTTTAGCATTGACTTTAGATACTTAAGGTATTTTGGCAGAATGCCTATTAATGGGTCTTGCTACATTTGACAGGATTCTACCCCTACCCGAGTGGTTTAATGCTATGAATCACAAAAGTCAGAAACAAGAGCACTAGCTAAAGTCTGGAAGTAGAGCAGACACTATTACTGGCTCAGGTTTGACTAGTCCAGTCAGAAGTCAATTAAATACTGACCAACCTATAGGCCTGACGGCAATTTTCCACCCCGGTAGGAGAGAAATAAGCAATAGCATCTGTCTATGTGGTTTGGTTCTAATGACATTAAATTGCCAATACCAATCTTTTCAGCTTTTATCTCAGAAAATCTCACCCTCAGAAGTATATCGTCTGAAGTTCTACCCAGAGCCTGGATTCTGGGAATCTGCTTGGGCAGTAGGTAGAGTAAGTCCTGCTTTGGCTAGATCCCATCTACCACATGAGCCATCATCATGGCTAAATAGCTGTAGGTGGAAAGGCCTTTAAGACATGGGCAACTAAATACTTAGGCAACTGCCTCTGCACTGCTCAGTATTAATTATTTAATTGACTAATAGAGGAAATAGATACGTAATACCTGGCGAGCTTAGTCTTATCCAAGGTTCAATTTAAACTAATCGTCAGTATTTCTGGAAAATGCCAATGTGGCTTTTTCTCAGTAAGTGCAGTCAGCAAGTCTGAACAGAACCCTCCTCTACCGTCTGACACAGCTAGGCTTGGACTCACATTCTGCGACATTGCATCACCAAGAGGGCCTCGGTGGTGCTCTGGGCCAAGAGAAATTGGCTAAATGGCAAACACATGCCTTTAGGAGAGAAAAGGGAAGCTTCTTAGAGAAAAATGAGTCTGAAAGAATCGGGTACTCGATCTTGAAGCATGAAAGAAATTTAACACAGAAAACTTACACTTCTCAACCATCAGAAGCACAGGATAAGGGAAAAATGTTTAGAGAAATATAAGGAGAGAGGGCAAAAGGAACCATCTCTATGCAAGCCTCATACACATCTAAACAAGCCAGAAAGTACGGTTCGTTTGTTCTCAGTACTGCTTTATTACAGCATGGATAGGCAGTTTGCTGGATAGAGGCTGGAATGGCATGGAAGATTTGAATGATGCTGAAGTCTCTCTCAGCACACAGTTCACAAGATCCAAGGCCTAAGATCTAGAGGTAATAATAACTTACAGTGTCCACCCCTTTAGAATCATATGCAAAGTAAATGTTCATTGTGAGCTGAACAGCTAAAACTAGACAGCACCATTGCCAATTAAATTAAAATTAAAGCCCCGGGTAGGATAATTATTTGTAAACTGTATGATGTCCTTTGCATTTCCATTAGAGGGCATTCTTGCTTCACAAATTCCTGGATTTTCTTGTCATCAGAGAGCCTTTTCTTCCCAGGCAGGTCTGCATGATAGGTGGTCTAAACGGGCAAACGGTGTGCCAAACAAGGTAAGAGAAGTCGAGAGGAAACAATATGGCATTTCTCTTTTCCTGCTTTCAAATCCGAAGTGCATACCCAAGGTTAACAGAAAGCAGCATGGGCCAAAACTGTTTTCCTGGGAATTTTTTCCCTTCACAGACCTTGTACACAGTACTTCCAGGGACTGCCAGAGTCTTCCCCAGGGGAGGCTGAAAGGGGAGACAGTTGATTTTTCAGAGAGATTGTGCGAATGCAGCCAAGCAAACAGGAAGGTGCCTCGAGTCCTAGACGGGGGTTTTCCTCTCCATGTGCAGTCACTGGGGCCCTGTGTGTGGGGAGCGAAGCCAAGACAGCAAACTGAGCACCTTCTTCACCAGGCCCTAGAGCCTGTGCTGCCTCCTCTGCCGGGGGTTCTCAAACCTGGTCTGGTCTATACCTTTCTGTGTACATACAGATGGAGTGTGCGTGTGTGTGTTTGTAGTTGTAGACATGCACACCTCCCAAAGTGAATACTCTAAGCGTGCACGTGATACTGGAGCTGTTTCTAGATTATTCAAGTTTTGGAGTATGGAGTCTGAAAAATGAGTTTGAAAGACTGATCTTTCCTTTAGTTATGAACAAACGAGCTCACTACTCATGCTCTGAAGGGGGGGTATACATGGAAAAATTCTGGTTTCTGATGGATGCAAAGCACTTTGCAGACAACACATATAATTCTGAGTACATGTGAGGGGGAAACATGAGATACAGCAGAAAGGAAGTTGTTCCTTTCTCAGTCCCTTGCTGCCTGGGAGAGATGAGCCTCCCAAGCAAGCTGTGGGAGAGCTCAGTGAAGTGAGCTCCTTAGAAGTTCCTGAGTGTTCACCGCTCACTCTCGGGTAGCTCAGTTCAGGCCTCTGTGCATTTCTAGTGGATTCTTTATAGATAGGAAGATGGAGCCAGACAGCAGTGAAGACTCTTTCTCAAGGCATTGGTTTGGGAAAGTCAGCCTGTGAGAAAAGGGGTACAAATGTGGGACAGGGGCTCTTCTTCACTGTGGGCCTGAGCTAGGATTTCCCCAGACCTGAGAAGGAAAACGTAGTTGTATGTACTGCTATGAAGTATTTATCGTGAGAGGCTGTAGAAAATCATGTCAAGACAGTAACAGAAAGGTAGCTTTTATGAGAGTCTTGAAGTATAATGCTGGCAGAA